AACATATTGCCAGTGCCCTCAGGAGCCCTGTTCCTTATTATAACACCCCCCCCCCCACACACACACTGTGGCTAACATTTGTGAGCAAGGGGTTCAAAAGACTGATATCCACAAATACTCACCACTGGAGAAGGATAATCAATACCTGAGCTTAAGTGTGGGTGCATAGATGAGATTTTGAACTTGAAAGCATTGTAAATATTATCCTGTATTAAGTACATTTAAATTGAGTTCATATGGGTTTACCTTTGGCAAATAAAATGAACATTTTCTACAAATTAAACATACCTACAATAAAAAAGTTTTTCTCAGATGAGTCACCCTTGTTGTCTTCTTCATTTTAAAAACACATCCCCCCAAAAAGCACCGGAATATGAATATGAATCACAAGCGCGGCACATGCCTTTGACTAATCGGAACGTAGACCTTCACTTGCAACGGGCATAAACCCTTTACCTGCCAGGTCATGAAGAAGTCTCGAGGGATTGTGTGGCAGGTCACTTTGGTATAAGTCACTGTGGGTACATTTCTGTGTTATTCTGTATCAGAGCATTTCAATATTTTAACAGGCTATTTGACAAATGTCAACATTTTTCAAAGCTCATTTATATTCATAGATAGTACTGGAATTTTGATGCTTAGAAATGCAGATAGATTTGATCTAGTGGTTAAAAAAAAGTTTAGAACACTTTCCAGTTCTTAAATAGGAATTTCAAACTTGACAATCTTCAGTCAAGGTTTTTCTAGCCACTAGGAAAACGAAGAAAATGAGATGCAGATCTTTAGTCGTCTCTAATATTCATTGTCCCACTTCATGGTCTTAATAGCTGCAGGAATGTGTATTAGTTTGCCAGTGGAAATGCTCATGAAGTCCAACAGGTAGAGTGGCTTAAAGGATAGAAATGTAATTCCTCAGAATTGAAGGTCAAGCTTTCAGCAGAGTGGGCTTCAGGTTGAGGCCCCTGATCTTGGCGTTGGTTTACATATTCCTCTACCAATGTCTTCTGATGGTCTTGTGTGTGTGTGTATGTGTGTGTGTGTGTGTGTGTGTTAGTAAAAACTCACTCATGTGTACATGTATGCATGTGTGTTCTAATTTCATCTTCTTAATTGGATTAGGTCTCACCCTTATGACCTCATTTGCCCTCTATTTGTTCTCTTCCCTACTCTCTCTGAAGAGCCTGTTTTATGTCCCTGTCATTTATTTTGCTGTGCATTAATTGTACAAAGAGGTTTCACAATAGTATTTCGCACATGTATATAGTAATTATATTTTAGTTTGATTAACCCTATTTTCTCTTTTTTTAAAGAAAAAACAGCATGACAAAATATTTCCATATTTAAAGTTTATTTCTAAGTGGAAAACATGTCATTTTTAACCTCCAGGACCTTGTGACCAGGACTTGGGCAGAATTTCTGACTACAACTTCAAGACTGTCATATTGATGGGAAGATGAGTGGTTTCCATGACGTCCAAGGTACTTTTTCTTATAAAAAGACACATCTTCTGGGAGAAAAGACAAGGCAACTTCATTTAATAGAATGTAAACTATCCTGGTGTGGCTTCTAGGGAAGATTCTTTTTGTTATGTTTTTGTTTCATAGTGTGCTGTTTTTTAAGGTAAGGTTTCCCTATGGAACCAAAGTTGGCCTTGAACTTATTATCCTCTTGCTTAACCTCCTGAGTACTGAGATTACAACTGTGTACCACCAAACCCAACTTTATTACTAGAGAAGCTTTAAATATGTTCTGTGGATAATCCATCACAAATTCTCTGTTCAGAGAACTATTGTGGGTCTAATTCATCATAGAGGTGACCATCTTTAATATCAGCCCTGCTATGGTTTGGTTCCGGACCTGTGACTGCAAATATACCTTTACTTTTTAAGAAGTTGACTTTTCTCAGGTACTTATTACAGGAAGCGAAAGGTGACACAGACACTAATGCACAGTTTCATCATCTTGAGGCTAGAGTAGTTCAATATCCCTGGGGAAATGGCCCTGAAACTCGCCAGGATCTTCCAATATACCAAAGCGTGCGGATACTCAGGTTTCTTATGTAAAATGATGCGTCACTAGTAGATAAACCATGTATATTCTTCCATATACTTTAAATTTTCTCCTGGTTACCTGTAACACCTAAGGCTAGGTAAACAGTTGTTCTATGGTAGAGTTAATGAGTAATCACACAAAATATTCTGTACATGTTCAGTATAGACACATTGTTTCCTTCTGGTATTTTCAACCTAAGGTTGACTGAAGTGGTGGATACTGAACTCTGGGGTGGGGTGGGGGGATATAGAAAGCTGGCACACTCACTCCAAACCCAACCTTTCATGAACTGCTTTAGTTTGGATTAGGTCTCAAAATGCAAGCCAGGCTGGTCTGAAACCTCAGCCTCTTTGGGATTACAGGTTTATACCAGAATGTTTTTTCTTTGTTTTGGTTGTTGTTGGCTATACTTTGCTAGGCGAACACTCCAGCATTTGAGTCGTATTGATAGCTGTAAGCACATGATCTTAAAAACATGTTTAGTTTTTATCTTATAGCCTCATTATTCCCTTCCCATCTGCTGGTTCTGGGGATCTAGTCCTGGGCCTCATGCCTGTTAGGCAAGCATTCTTTTACTGAGATGTAGCCTAAACCCAGAATCCTATACAATGTTAATGAGAACAAGCAGAGGTCAACAGAGAAAAATCACATTCATCACAGCAGGTTCAACTACATCCTAAGTTGATTCCCTCAAATGTAAATATGACAGATAGACAAGGAAAAAACCCTTGATTGGTCAGCCATATGTAATGAAATACTTCAGCTCTGCAAAAGGAGTTTTGAAAGTCTTTTTCTGCTGCCTGATCATATCTAGTGTGTCAGCCAACAATATCTACTTATTCTCAGCTGACAACAGTACCAGTTAATTAGCTCTTGTTTCTGTTTGGACTATTTGGTAGACTTAAACTATGTTCATATTGCCATGGGGAGCAAACATGAAGAAAGCTTCGCCTTGGATGTAGATGTGGGCTTTCCTAGTTGCAGTGACATTTGAACTGTAACTCAGAGTAAAAGCTTATAATAGGTCAGACATTAAAAGCAGATCATCTAATTCTAAACAATTAATGACAATTTTGCTTTGAAAACAAAATACCCCCAATCTCAATAAAAGTTTCAAAATACAGATATTAGAGATTACTGCAGAATTACACAAATATCTATAAATTCCTCAATCCTCTTAGCACTTTGACCTTTTTAAAGATTTAATGCTTTTGCATTTAGTATAAAATATTTATCATGTCCAGTTTTTGAACTAGAATACATTGCAATCTTTTACAACTTCTAAAAAAGCTTTCTCTCTTCCAGATTCCTGTAAATTCTTTTCCAACAATGCTTATGAAAGCCAGAGGATTTTTTCCCCCTGGAAAATAGAGTACTTGCAGTAATTTAGAAAATGGAAGAGTTTGCTTTCTTTATTTTATTGTATTTTTTGCAATGCATCTGTGTAACAAGCTTTGGCTGAGGAGCTCATTGGCGCAGACTAGGGTATTGGGATCTTTGCTTTCTGAAAACAAGTTCTCTGCTGAGTATGCTCCAGCTCCTGCCTCACCTAGTTAGAGACTTCTAAACTAGCATTAAGTATGAGGGAAACAGCTCTGATGCCAGTGCAGATGTGGTAAAGATCCTTCCTTCCCCCTTCCTTCCCTCCTTCCTTCCTTCCCTCCTTCCTCCTTCCCTCCCTCCTTCCTTCCTTCCTTCCTTCCTTCCTTCCTTCCTTCCTTCCTTCCTTCCTTCCTTCCTTCCTTCCTTCCTTCCTCCCTTCCCCTTTCTTCCCTCCTCCTCTCTCTTTCTTTTCTCTCCTCTCTCTCTCTCTCATTCTTTCTTTCCTATTTCCCCATCCTTCTCAGAGAAACATAAAGACACACATCAGAATTACTGACTGGCGTGCTGCTTGGTGTCATTTCATGTCCACCATACTGACCTCACATTAGGAAGATAATAGAGCATTAAAATCAGCTTAAGAAATCATAGGAGGGAAGGGATGGGAAGGGGAAACAACTAGGAGGCAACAATGCTTGATAAGAAATGTACTCGTTATCTTGCCCATGTAATTGTAATCCCTCTGTATGGTATTCTCACAATAAAAATTATATATATATATATATATATATATATATATATATATATATATATATATATATGAAATCATAGGAGGTAAAGAGCTGCTGGTTCCAGAGCTTTCTGCTCAACCTCAACCAGCCTTCATTTTGATCTCCTTGTTGCACCCCCCCCCCTCCCCTGTGGAGAAGTGGTCAAGGTTGATCAGTCAGGTTTGAGCAGATGAATGCTCCTGTCATAGCTATACTTATGCAATGTTTAGGAAGGTTCTGGAAAATAATATCCCAATTATGTACTGATGAAATACTAATTTTCTAGAAACTCAAGTTTTAGCAATGACTGACAGAATAAATAATTACATTTCTAAAATAAATAAAAAATACAGAGATGGTATCAACCAAATGAGTTAACGAAAAATCTCCAATAAATCCTCATATCGCCAACAAATCCTGTTATCTTCTTAACGAATAAAGCACAGGGTGTCAGAAATGCCTTGCCTTTACACCAGGTGTGAATCACACATACAAAGACCAAAGGAATGGCAAATCACCATTGCACTGATGCATGGAGCTGCTGTGTCTTTCTCGCTTACTACAGATACCTTTCTCATACTCTAAAACTCCATTCAAACGTACCCATAACTATGGAAAAACAAGTTTTAAGCCAAGTTTTAAGGTTTAGCGTATGGGTCTGGGAAGGTGGTTCAGTGGTATTGTGCTTGCCTCGCATGCATGAGGCCCTGGCTTCAATTCCTCAGGACCACATAAACCGAAAAAGCCACAAGTGGCTCTGTGGCTCAAGTGGTAGAGCACTAGCCTTGATCTGAAGAGCTGAGGGACAGCGCCCAGGCCCAGAGATCAAGCCCCACGACTGACCAAAAAAAAAACAAAAAGATTTAGGGCATGGAACACAATTATTTATTAAAACTAAACATATGCAAACATGAACAAAATACATCTATGTACAAAGTAGCACGGTATGATTTGTACTTAATATTTAAAAACGTACTTGCAAACTTTCTCTACATTAACATAGTGGAAAACAATAAATACAACCCTAGTACTAACAACAAGAAAGTAGGAAAGTTTCCATGGATCAATACTGTCAGCCACGTTAACTGTAAATCTATGGATCGATTCTATCCTCAGCCCACCTGCTTGGGTTATCAGGTTCATTGCTCAAAACATCCCTTCCTAAATTGTGCTGTCTTAGGAACGTCTCTACAAACTGTGGTAATATGCTTTTCTTTCTGTATCTCAAAGGACAAGGGGAAGCCAAGAATTCTTTTTGGGGCTTCAAATTATATGCCTTGTGGTGTGGAGATTGCCACTTGAGTCAGAAAGGTAATTCATGCAGACTGGTGCTCAAGGTTGAGATTCAGGACTGGTTCGGCCATACTTCCTCCATTTCCATTCCTGGAATGCAGTTGCTGAAGTTTAAACCTGTGAAATATTAGAACAAGAAAAGGTCAGGTTTCAAGAAGGTGAAGAAAACACAGAGAAAGTGGAAGCAGACCAGCTCTTGGTTAAAAACAAAAACAAAAAGCAAAAATTCAGTGACTAGCTGCATTTTTCCACACACAGAAGTCCCTTGTATGTCTCACACATTCCGAACTGAGCATTCTGTGAGCCAAATGTATTGCCTCAGATCTATCTCTTTCCAACCTACAATCCCAATCTTTGTTCCTACCTCCATGATTCAACTTGGCACTCAGGTTGAAAGTCTGGGTATCATGTATAGTCACATTCTTCCTCATTTCCTACTGCCCATGTCCAATCAGTCATTGTGTTTCAATCTTTTTATCTTCTACCCAGTTCTCTGTTTTCCTTCTTCTTCTATGTCCCTCTTGTAGCTGAAGGAGTTTCAACTAGGGAATTTAGGTCCTTATCATTTTCCAATGGGATATTTTAATAGCTTCCAATTTCACTGTTTCTACCTTTGGTCCTCTTCCACATCAAGCTTACAGTGGTGTTGATCAAGCACAGGGCTCATATATCCCTCTTCTAACCAAAGTCCCTTTCTGTACTTGATCACCCTTCTGTCCCTTTTGGTACCCTATCATTAAAAGGGCATGGTTCAAGACTGGTGCTTAAAGAAACACTGTGACTCATTAGGAAATGCATGCTTTGGGATGCACAGTCATCAGGGAGATGAATTAGCAAGCAACTCGGCACTTCCGAAGAAAGTTTAGTAGTTGAGCATGTTCTTCAGAGTTTTCAGTAAAGAAACATTTGTGTTGGTAACAAAAAAAAAAAAATCACAAAAACCCCCAAAGCAATGTCTGGAGACTTCTCAGAACAGGAGTCTGAGCTGGGGGTTGTTAATGGTTTGTTGGAGTCTGTGAAGAGAGAGAGCTGTAGCTTATGCTGTACATTTGAGATGCAGTGGCACCAGTGGTGGAGACCTGTATCCTGCTTTTCCATGGCTTGGTTGGCAGGTCCTTTGATTGGGGTGGTTACACTGTTGCCTTGGTGCTGAGGGAATGCTGGGTACTGACTTCCATGGCCTGAGCGAGGCAGTCATAGCCTGGGGGAAGGGCCCACAGTGCAAGGGCAGGATAACTTTGGCATCCTCCCACAGCAAGTGTGGCTGGAAGATGGTCCAGTGTATATGAGCACAGTGTGGTGCAAAGAGAACTGTGATGGCAGGGATGGTTTCAGACCAGGTTGCTCAAATAGTAGGTGGAAATTCTGGGTATGTTTTGTATGCTAGGTTGTAAGGGCCAGCCTTCAAAGTGACTAAATGACTCGTTAGTGATATTAACAAACCAGGAAAGTTAGCACTTCATTCTAGCCTATCAAATCATTATGGCTTACACTGGGATGTAAGTCTTTCCGTGATCTAGTGCCCTGTGCTACTTCTCAAGTAAGTTTGTGAGAAGATACACATGTAAACGTAAGATCACATTAAGGTCTTCGATATACAAAGAAGTTTATACGAAGAGGGAGATAGCAGTAAATGAGCAAGGCTGCGAATAGGAATTTGGAGATAAAGAAACAGGAAAGGTAACATAAAACTCTAGAATTTCCTCACTACTGATGATAAAAAGTTGTGAATTAAGACTCTCCAAAATAAATATAACCTATTCACTTAGTTGAGATTTTCTTTTAATTTTTTCAAAAGTTATACTGACAAGGAAAATCGTTTTGCATGCTACATGTATAGTATAACTCAAGGTAGTAGCAGGTATTTTGAGGGATGAAGCACTTTTGTTTGTATAGCTGGTATCAAAGAAAATTGCACAGAGAAAATTTAAGCTAAAACAATCCTTTTCTTATTCTAAAAATATTATGGTACCTAAATGCAGCAATAAACGTTCAGTGTCAGGGTAATGTTTTTTGAAACCTCTCTCAGCTTTCCTATTGTTGATCTAAAAACTGCAGAGATGTTTAGGATGCATTTGAATTGATGAGTTTGCATCAATCGTGCTTTCTTAGCTGTTTGTTTTTTCTCTCACATTGTTTTATTGTTTTGTGCATAATATTATGCTCTCAGTAGACAACTTGGCAGAAGACAAGAATCATAGCTCATAAGCATTTTGGAATTCCTATCTGCTCTGTCAAATCACATTAAATATAATTATCTGCTCAAAACAGAAGGTCAATGTGTTAAACAAAAAACATTAATACATCTAGAATCGAATTTTGAGGTAGGATTTATCTATCTATCTATTTATTTATTTCAGTGTTGGAGATAAAACCTGAATATTAGGCAGGTGCTCTACCACCCAGCTACAACCTCAGCCTGGAGATTCTAAATGCAAGTGACTATTTCTATGTTATAGCTTGCTGTTGCACAGAGATTCAAAAACGTCTTAACTTCTCTCCTTAAATCTTCTAGATCTGACAAAAATATTGTTATTGAGCTAGAGTGTCTGAATTGATACCTGAATTTATTTGGCAACCAAGAAAGCAATTACTCACTGGTATAGTGAGTAATTCCCAGGACAATGACAGAAATATGTAAGTGAAAAGAAAAAAAGCTAGGAAGATTGACTATAGAATTAACAAATGTCAAGCTTGTATCTTTCTATTACTTTCTGATCTTTTCCTTTTAGAACATAGTATGGATCTCAAAAATTACACAGAAAAACACCAAAAGAATGGTACCTCTGCAGTGCACAAACCAGAGGCTAGAAATACATATATTTTTACAGTATACAGGAATGAGAAGGAGTCGCTGTTTCCTTCCAGCACAGCGTTCCCTACCATTTCTTTTTTTCCCAAATGAACAGATAAAAGTGCTTTCATTGGCTTAGTGGGTCCTCCCTTGGAGCATTTTGGTCCTGTAGAAAGCACTCTTCTTCTACAGATGAGTTGTGAAGAAACCATAGCCAGTTTGGTAAAGAAATTCTGCATCTATTAGCTAAGGCTGGTCCACATATCTCCTCACACAGCTTCTCAAATTCAACACTTGAAAATGTCCATTAAGAGGGGAAGAGCAAATTCTCAGCTGCTTTCTATTGTAATTGCCCCTGAATTGTTGGCTAGAGAGAGATGAAATTCTGATATTGACACACATTGCTGGATGTCTCTCTCTGTGTCTCTACCTCTACCTTCTGCGAATTGCCAGATAAACATGATGAACACCAGTTAGTCAACAAGCACATTCTGAATGTCTATGGCAGCACTGGATTAGTAGCAGGGCAGTAGACAAAGACAGTGAACAGAATAACGATATTCCTTACTGGAGACACTACCCAGAGTGAGGAACATTGTGGTCACACCAGTTCTGCACAGGTAATATTTATTGGTTCTTTTGCTTTTTATTGTTTGATCCAAAGGGAACAGGTTATTCTGGAGGTTCTAAAAAGCATCCCATCTATTGTGAGAGCACTCGATTGGTGCTTCTCATAACAAATCAATTAACATCAAGTTCATGCCTGGAATGGTAGCTACATAGCTGTTTGGGAGGCTGAGAACAATAAGCTACAGATTGGCCAGCGTTGTCACTTAGGTCTTGAGAGCCAAGACTGTCATCAAGATTGCCGAGTCTTGTCTAATTGTCACTGCTAGTGGGTGTTTACTGACCCAGGAAAAGACAGAGTGCATTGATAAGGCAGAAAGAGTGAATTGTGCCATTCCTTAGATAGGCAGGGCATTCTGGGAAGAAATCTTCTGTACCCATTTCTCTGGCAGCTTTTCTTACAGTTTGTTTTTAGACAAACCAACAATCATGGTTTCATGGACACCAGTCTTAACTTTTCAGGATTTGAAATCATCTAAGAGGCAGCAGGTGATGGAAACCAGATATTAATGAGCATCTCAGTGAATGGAATTAGGAAACTTACACAGTCATTGCCCAGGTGTGGGAAGAATTCATCAAGCTGTCAGTTCTTGGTTTTACCTTGTGCAGAGTGCTCACCTGAGAACAGAAGATAGGTTTTGATCTACAAGCTCAGAGAGCAACTAAGGATGAAAATAAAGTTTCTTGAATTGACCTTTTATTTTTTTCTCTAAGGGAAGCTCAATTTTCCTGCAAAATTTGTCATTAAAGTCATATTTGCCTCTTGGTATTGCCTGGAAATTATGCACTAAGATTTATGAGCTTTCTTCAGCCATCCTCCATGTCACCCTAAAGGAGTTAACTTGCTGGAGATGGGGCTGAAAGGGAGGGAGGAAGCTGAGCCATAACCACAGAGACACCCCGGGGACTGAATTATTGATTCCTGCTTGCTTCATGAGCTAGGTCTGCCTCCGCAAACCCATATCATATGTTTCAAGTGCCATTTTATAAGGCAGGTGTACTTTAGTCCTTCTGTTTAAATAATTCAGTGAGAGTTTTGGGGATCTGAATTTATCAGCCAACACGAATACATTGTTGGCATTCAGGACAGTACAGATGACATTCATCAAAAATCCCAGGGACTCTCCACCATCCAATATAAAGACAAATGTATTAGCCTAGGATGATGGGAAGCTGAGAGATCCTAAGCACTTTTTACATGAAACTGAATTCCTGGCCAATCTATTTCACATTACCTGCATCCTTCAGGTAGAATAAAATATCATCAGTCAAACTGTACAGGAGTGACATAGGAGACTCTCCAGCTTTTAGAGTAAATGTCATGGTTTTGCTCCAGCTTTTCTCTGCTATGGTTAGAACAGCCAAGCTGCCTTCAGGGCTCTCTGTAGATGGTTTTAGTTACTTGTGTGATCATGGCTATAATAAACAGTGCCAGAGGCCTGGGGCGGAGGAGAGTAGAGTGGGGAACCTCTCTTCATGTGCCCTTCCAGCCTTTATCTCCCTTAATCTTTGGTTCACTATTGTTTATTTCCTCAACTAGTGACAATATGTGAAAATGGAAAAATGTGACTATGCATAGAAATGAGCAATTTTCATGGTATGCTAATCAGTACCAGTATATTACTGATGCATTAATACTGAGTAATTACCACAATATTCAGGAGGGGAAATGAGAGGAAGAAAGGAGAGTGAAAGATTATACTTTTCCTTCTTTCCAAGACAGAGAGGTCTAGGTCTAGTTGGGAAAGAAGGAGGCGGAAAACTGGAGAATATGTATCAAGTGGTTTAATTAAGTGAAAGAGGCTGACACATTATAGAAGGCCTTGTTGATGTATTAAGGGCTTTAAGTGTAATCTTAGTAAGAATTGATTAGCATTCTCTAAGCAGAGGAATATTATGTGAATTCAGATTGCTGTTGCATCACTTCTAGTGGTTCAAAACCAATGTTCTGAAACTAGGTTCAATGATATAATGTTTTCTTTTCTTTTGTGTAGCTAGGTATTGTTTAACTAGTTCAGGCAGTTTTCGTTATAATTCTTACAGTTACACATACCAAAGTGGAGCAGTGTTATTTTAACTGAGACCAATTGTGAGAATCACGTTTAAAATGTGTAGTGTCGTGTGTGTATTTCTGTAGTCAACCTTAGTTGCTTCAAAGTAGACTATCTCCTTTATATGAAAGGATGTTCCACATTTAAACTCTTCCAGCAGAAGACCTTGCTTGGGAGAGGACCTATTTAGTGGAATCAGGAAGTACAGTTGGATGAACACTAGCACTTAATGTGAGAAGGAGGATTTGAGGTAAGGAAATTTCTTCCTCAGAGAAAGGGTTAGAAGTCTAACCATGGCTCATCAAAGATTGTAGAAACCTGGAGTATTTAGCATCTACTGGCAGACAGACTGCAGCAAAGGTCTGTTTCCTTGGAAACATTGCTTACTGGCCTCTACAATGACATATTCATTTTGAGATAAAAGTCCAAAGGGCATTGAGGCACAGATTTTATTGCAAAACCCACTTATAACATCCATTGATACTAAGATTTCTTAGACCTTGAACCAAATAGGAGACATTGTAATAGTCATCAGTTCTGATTGGTGAGTGGTCAGATGACTATCCTGTCCAATTAGTTTTTGTATTTAAAATCTTGAAAATGTCTTACCCTACCACTGTCTATTTTGCATGGCAATCAGCTGGGTTGACCTTTAGGAAATTATTTTGTTAATTCCTAAATAGAACTAGATAGAATTAAAAGTGCCAGATAGCTGGGTGCCAATGGCTCATGCTTGCAATCCTAGGTGCTCAGGGTCCTGAGATCTGAAGATCATGGTTTGAAACCAACCCAGGGCAGAAAAGTCCATGAAACTCTTATCTCCAATCAACCACCAGAAAACCAGAAGTGTAGCTGTGGTTGAAAGTGATAGAGTGCTAACCTAGAGCAAACCTGGGACAATGCCCAGGTCCTGAGTTCAAGCCCCATGACTGACAGCTAAAAATAACAAAAAAACAAAGACCCAACCAGATAATACCTTATTACATAAGAGCTGTGACAATACAAGTCCTTTAGGAAATATAGGAAGCATGTAGAGTGAAAGGTCTTCTCGATTATCTGCAAGGTCTATTCCACTCACTGCTACAGACACTGCCACTGTGGGAGTGAGCAGAGGTGGACTTTTCTCTGGGTGTTAAAGAAGAGCCTGCTGTCTGTGTGCATTATAAAACAGGAAATGTTCTTTGGATTTTCCTACCAGAAAACCATGATTTTGCTGTTAGGTACCATTTCTCTAGAATGGGTGGTTGAAAGCTGTATGTTATCCTGATCCTGACTCCTACACACACACACACACACACACACACACACACACCACACACACACACACACACACACACACACACACACACACACACACAGACAAAAGAGACAGAGAAACACAGAGGGTGCCAGTTCACAGCTCTAAGAGCTCAGGAGATGGCAGAGCATTTGGTTGAATTCCTAAGAGAGTGACATAGCAAATGGAAATCTTGTGATGCTCACTTATAAACCACACGCTGGGTGTGGTAACCTTTCCTGAGCAATGACGTCATGCTCAAGCTGGCTCAAGAGTCATCACATCTAAACGATTTCACTAATTCCCTTCCTTTCTCTCTCAACTAGTGGCTGGTGCTTAAGTCAAGTCTGGTGAATAGCCAGAGAATATGTAGGAGTGGACTCTAACTATTCTCTGAATGATTTTGCTCCTTTGCCATGTGTGTGTGTGAGTGTGTGTGTGTGTGTGCGCGTGCACGCACGCACGCGCGCACTATTCCTAATGTAACAAATAGGGTGGGTGTGAGGGAAATGTTTGCCTCAAAGAATGTAAGAGATACAACAGCTCAAGGGATCTTTCTCAGGAGAAAATGGGTCACACGAGGGGCGGAACCTATTTATACCAGTGTTGGGAACTTTTATTCTCTCTGCTATCTTCTCTTCTAGTTGTAATGGCCAGCATGAATTTGGATTCACGTTCAGTTTAGGATAGCTTGTTCTTGATTTGAGACCATATTTATAGCATCTTGTATTACAAAACTGTTGTTGAATACTTTCTATATTTATAATATAGTTTATCATTCTTAAGCTTTCATGGTATAATAATCAATATATTTCTGGACCATGCTATCAAAGTAAAATTTGGGAGACTGTCTATTGCAAACATCTTATTACAAGAATCGTTTTGAGAAACTTATAATTGGTTTTTAACTTATCTGTTTTGTGATAGCTGTTTTAAATGTCTGGTCTACTCAAAACAAGAAAAAAAATGCCTGTGCCTTTTGTTTTTAAAAGCTATCTAGCATCTCATTTTCTATTGTTCTTGATACAAATGTCACTTGTACCAGTCACATGGTATTCTGAAAGACTTACATCCCAAATTAAATAAACATAACTAAGAAATTAGAAATAAAGTAGATTTTACTAACCAGAAATTTATCTTTATTGAGAAATTCAATTAAAATCATTTAACATGATATGGAACATTAATGTCATTTTAATTGGTCCCAATGACTACATATAGTCATTGCCAAAAGTGACACAAAACAACAGCAATAATTATTTAAAAGCCCTGTCAACAAAGTTAATGTCATCTCTGGCACCCTTGTAGAGTAAGCAGTGTGGCTAGCCTTCATCCCCTGGCCATTAGAGCACACGTAGAAACTAAACCTTAAAGTCTCAAAGTCCAATAATCTTATAAAAATAAAGTTTCTAGGAAAGTCAGATTTGTTGAGAGTTACTACTTGGTGACATCTAGAAAATCTGTGTTTTGTTGTTGTTGTTGTTGTTGCTTGTTTGGTTATGTCCCAGATGAACCATATCCAAGGATATAGTTAGATTTCAACCTTGCCCATTTTCATCTGCCAATTGGGAACTTACCAGACTCGTGAGAAATTGTCTTAACCGTGAGCAGCTTCACACTTTCTTTATCAGACTGAGGTCTATTGGAAACAGAGAAGACTGTCAGCACCTCAACGATCACAAAGTGACTATGAAAGACGCATATGCCACGCACACAGAATGAAGAGACATGTGCACAGATGTGTTTTATGTACTTCTAGGGCTATACTTGTGTGTTTTCACAAAAACTTGGTGTCTTTCTATCTATCACTTCCTAGTTCTCCTGGAATCAAGCCAGCAAATCCTCATTACTATGTTATAGTTGAGATCACCAGCTGAAGTACCTGTCCATTGGATGTTTGGGGACATCTCACAAGGTCTACAATATGTTTCTGGACTATAGGACAGACCAACCAGAAGTGTTTCCAAACTTATGAGCAGCTGCTGGACTCTGAGGATACCCTTTCTCATGGGGACCGGAGACACTATAGTACTCATATGGAACTGTCCACTTCCATCAAACATTCTCACTCATTCCTTTCCAGATCTCAAATAGGTTCAAACCCTCATCCCTCTATTTTTAATCCAGACAGGTAGGTGACCTAGAGACATTATTTCCAATGTCTATAACCTAATGAAATACAAAATGAAATGCAGGCTACAAATTCAGGCCAACAAAGGCAACCGAATTATTTCTTGACCAGAAAACAGCTTGTCATGTCTACTTGCAGCACCTTGGTGACAACAATTGATTGGACTGCCAACAGCTGCTTTGTCTGGATGAAGTCAAAGTAGATGAGCATCTGCTGTTAAAGAAAAGCCCATCAGACACTGCTCAGATCAGAGGTATAATTCTCCATAGCTGATAAATACACTGAAAAATGTACTGGCAAAATGATGTTAAAACTGTAGCTGCAATTCCTGGGGTATTTCTTCTTGATCTTCTACTTAGCCATTTTCTACTTTATCATTTTATCTGTGTTGAAGATAGAAAGTTGGGAAATAGCTCTGGCTATTTCCAAAAAATCCTATATGTGGTACTTTCTACATTGTTTTCTTCTAATGAAAAAAATCCCAGAAAGTGTAATATAGAATTGTTCATCCCTGTAAATGATATGGTGATAAGTTCTAAGGCAAAACTGTGGCATGGTCTTACTTACTGATCATTTCCATTTTCTGGTGTACCTAGGAGAGGAGACAGTTGTTATTAAATTTGAGACCCTTTGCTGCTCTTCTAAAACTTTTTTCTAAAGAAAATTTTATCCCTCCAGAAGTATTTGTAAAGTATGGTTAGCACTCATCTTGATGTTTATAAGATAGTCCTAATTAGATCAGCTTTATTGAATGTAGCTCTGGGTTAAATTTTGTTTGTCTGTGCTGGTTCTAGGGCTTGAACTCAGGGCATAGGCACTGTCTCTAAGATTTTATGCTCAAGGTTAGCACTCTACTACCTGAGCCACAGTTCCACTTTTATCTTTTAGGAGTTTAATTGGAGATAAGATTCTCATGGACTTCTCTGTTCCGGCTGGCTTTGATCATCGATCTTTATATCTCAGCTTTCTGAGTAGTTAGGATTAGAGGCATAAGCCATCAATGTCTGGTTCTGGGTTAGTTTTGAGCTTATAATTTCATATGACTTTGAGAAAGTCCTATATTCTATCACATCCCAGATACACTAGAAAATCTCTGTTTATTTAATAATATCTCAAAGAAACTTCTCCTCAAAGTAATTACCTTTTCATCCTAGAAAATTGAATTTTCTAATTTCCTTTCTACATTGCTCTTTTTGTGGGACAGAAATTCCTATATTTTGTGGTGAGCTACAGTGTAGATATTGTTTCTAATTGCATCTTAAATCCACTTATTTAACCTCTTAAAAGTGTCCTGTAAATTCTCACTGAGGGTGCTAATTGAAATTAATACTCTGCCTAGCTGCTTCTGTTTACTTTTTTTAAATTTTGTTGTTGTTTGTGGGTTTGAACTCAGGGCCTTGAAGTTTCTAGGAAGGCATTCTATTACTTGAGCCATACTTTCTGTCATATTTTTGATCCAGTTATTTTTTAGGTAGGATCTGGGCCAGCCTCCAATTGTGATCTTCTTACTTATGGCTTCTTATATCATGGGCTCAAAGGAGCCCATGGCTTATTAGTTGAGAAGGAGTCTTGCTGACCTTTTTCCCAGGCTGACCTTGAACTGTGATCCACTTACTCTCTGCCTCTTAAAGTAGCTGGGTTCACAGCTGAGTCACTAGACCTGGCATTTAATCACAATTCTTAATCCCTGGGGTTTGATCCATAACATCTTGTGCTGATTATTCATGAGGTCTGATTTCCTCTTTCCTCTTAAGTAGGGTTTCAATGGCATCAAAAAAAATCCTGTGTCATATAGAGTATTGTTCACAATGCACACAGTGCTAATTAAAATGAATCAACAATTTTTGTATGATGGTCAGAATACTTTTGATAGAGGTTAGTGAGCCGACAGATACCTGTCAAAAGATAACTTGAATATACACCTTCTTACATGAGTTAAAGCTCAGCCTACTTGTCAATATTATTAGCCAGAGAAGCCTCATGTCAAATCTCTGACTCACAGATCTTCCAGAGAACACAGTGGGTTTCCTAATTTTCTGAACTTAATGAAATCCCACCCACATACTTGAAGAGGGATTAACTGTGGTGTCTAATGGTGCTAATTTAGTGATAACACAATGCTCTAAATTCTGTTTGGAAAACAAAGTTAAACTATAACCAAACAGATGGACTAATTCCAAATTGCCAAATACAGTTTCAGACAGTCCTATGTGTCGTCAGAGAAACTCTCCATTGTGGTAGGAATTGTGTACACCCATATAAGAATAGAAAAATGCCATCTTTTCAAAAAACATATTGTCAGATCTTCCTATGTAAGCAGTTGTTCACCACAGTCTTTTTTCACAAATAGATATAGCATACTAAGTTTTACCTTTCCTATATACTGTATACCCGGATGGCTGACTTCCTACCAAACAATGTGGATGGCATAAAAACTTACAGAAAATAAAACTAATTTATAAAAATGCTGCTTTGGTTCTAAAAATGACACAGGACAATGCTTCAGATGTGATTAGAAAGTTCATCCACTTTGCTCCTGAAGGAAAAGACATTTGATTTGTTTTGTTCTTTCCCACTCAGAGATAAAGTGATCTCTGCTGCCTGGGTCTCCTAACTTTTCCTTACACTCTTCAGATCACACCCCTACTGCCTGTGAGATGCCTGGTCAGTCATTGAACTGACCAACATTCACTAGTGTCCTGGGGACACACAGTCCATGGAGTAAGCAAGGAATAGAGAAGCTTATACACCCCAGAAAAATAAGTGCCTTTACCTTTCTACGGTTTATAAGACTTTGGTAGGATTTTGTTAGTGAAATATTTAAAATCAAAATGGGGAAAGAAAGGATTTACTTTAACTGGATATTAAAAATGAAACTCTACATTCAGGGAGTAAGGGTCTATTGTATATTTGGAACATAAGCACAGGTATGTGATGCTACAGAATACAACCAGGATCTGGAACAGACGATAGATTAGAGTTACAGTAGCACAGAAGAGAGCTTAGTCATGGAGGTGAAGAGAGCTCAGCCAAAGAGCAGAAAAATGGAATAAAAACAATGGAAGTATCAGTACAGTAGAGAGTTTAATAATCATTTTCAAGATTGGTGCAGCAATTGTGGCAATATACTATACTAACATAACATTTATTAAAAAGGAAAACCAGATATATGCTAATGTTTATTTTGATAAATTATCTGTGCATTGAATGGATTCTAAGAGACAAACTTTATTGAAACTAACAACAGACAATGTAACAGTTATGGAAGAAACCTTCACTGGAAAGGAAGGAACACTGCTCTCAATATTATAGACTTCTAGCCAGGCACTGGTGGCTCACACATGTAATCCTAACTACTCCAGGAGGCCAACATCTGAGGATCCTAGTTCAGAGCCAGTCCAGGCAGATACATCCAAGAAATTCTTATTTCCAACTAATCAGGAAAAAAAAAAGCTAAAAGTGATGGCTTGGCTCAAATGGAATAGCACAAGCCATGAGAAAAAAAAAAAAAGCTAAGCAAGAATGTGAGGCTTTGAATTCAAGCTGTAGTACCAGTATACATGCAAAACGTTTTTCCTCTTATTCTGTTACATCACTGTATCATTTTATTCTGGAGTGTTTTTATTCTGTACGTGTAAAGGGGAAAATTTTGACTGGAGATCAAGCATGCCATTTCATGTTTTTCTTTCTGACATCACCCCTCGGCCACCCACAAAGTTGGGGCTAGTTTATTAATGAGGATTTATCCATATTTAATACTTGCCAATAGAAAACTGTCACTCTGTGTAGTCACTAGCATTCAACACGTTCCTGTATTTTTCCCCCTTCAGTTTTTGTGACCATGCAATATGGTATTTTCTTTATGTGTACTTCTTTTCTCTGTGTGTACCTTTTCTATCCACTGAGAAAATATTTATTCTCCTTTTCAGGAAAACTAAACAAAGATAAAGCACATTACCTACCCGGATCTTTCTTCCAGCACATCCGATACAAACCCACCAGAACAAATACTGAGAGTGTTATGACAATCAAAGTAATAACCACTGGCAAAATGATACCTAAAAAACAAAATACAGGGGACATTGTCAGCTAGAGTGGCTACTGAATTTCATATAGATAGGCCAGTAGCTGATTAAACACATGCATGCTTTCTTTCTGCTGTAATCTTTAGGTCTATAACAATGAATATATTTTAGGCTGATAAGATTTATCTGATTAGGCTTTTGCTCTCCTTGTCGTTTCTAACAAATCCACTGGATGTCAGTCTTGTAGCCTTGCTGAAACACTTCAAAACACCAGACAGGTCTTTTCCCCTTCTTCCTGGAGACTGGGGAGTGGGGAAAATGGAAGACCAGAAAGATTGATTCTAGAGCCTAGCAAAAATCATTCACTCATTAATATTTATTAGTGCTTTGTAATGAAGTTACTTGACAAAAATATAGCCCATTTGGGAGTACTGAAGTCCTAATGTTGACTTAAAAATCCCTCATAAATATTCTACCATATTGTCTTAAAGTTTGAAAATGTACAAATGGCATGTCATAATGGCTATACATATATATACATATATATATATATATATGTTTTAAAAACCTGTACACTATGGTTCAAGAAAATTGTGTATCTGTGTGCACATAATTGGGTGTCTGTTGGGTGTCTGTTGTGCTAACTTAGGGTGAGTCTATTTATTTTTTAATTATTAGGAAGATTTTAGAGTTTTTGCCTTTTGTTCCCCTCCAGATAGTTGCTTATTTGGTTAAGAGTACAGAGCAGAAGGCCAGCAAGCTGCTGTAGGCATGGAGCTAGTGGCTAGTCTGGAAGTCAAATGAGATGTGCTTGGTTAGTCAGGAACCCCCCACTCCCAGCCCTGCATCCCACTGGGTAATATGTGTGCTACTCGGGCCCCTCCCAGGGGTGAGGGTAGTTCTTCAATCCAAGAACAGAGTGAGCTACCCTTCTACTGTCAGGAGGAAATACTTTTAAGTGTACTATGCTGCTGATTTCCTTCCTTCCTTTCTTTTTATTTTTCCCTTCCTTTCCTTCTTTCTTTTGTTCATTCGTTCCTTGCTTCCTTCCTCATTTTCCTTTTCTCTGTTTCTTTCTTCCTTCCCCTTTTTTCTTTCACTTTCTCTTTCATTTTCCCTTCTTTCCTTCTTTATTTTGTTCATTTTTCATTCCTTCCTTCCTCTTTTTTCTTTCCCCTTTTCTTTTCTTTTCCTTTCTTTCTTTCTTTCTCCTTCCTTCCTTCCTTCCTTCCTTCCTTCCTTCCTTCCTTCCTTCCTTCCTTCCTTCCTTCCTTTCTTTCTTTCTTTCTTTCTTTCTTTCTTTCTTTCTTTCTTTCTTCCTTTCTTCCTTTCTTTCTTTCTTCCTTTCTCTTTTTTCTCTTTCTCTCTTTCTTTCTTTCCCAGTCTTGGGGGTTTGGTTTAGGGCCTGGGCTCTGTACCTGAACTCTTTTGTTCAAGGCTAGCACAACTCTACCACTTGAGCCACAGCCCTACTTCTGGCACTTTTGGTGGTTAATTAGAGATAAGAGTGTCATAGTCTTTCCTGCCCAGGCTGGCTTCAAACCACAATCCTAGATCTCAGCCTCCTTAGTAGCTAGGATTACAGCATGGAGGTATCAGTGCCTGGCTTGATTCTTACTTTAAAGAAACTATTGAATATTCTGCATTCTGTCTTATCATACATACAATATGTTATAAGGCAAATATACATTTTAGTTAACATGGAATGTATCTTAAATGCCATTTTAAACTTTAAAGTTCTGTCAAAAATCATTTTTTGTAATTTACTTAAATTGTTTAATTTATGAATTGATGAATAAGTCTAGACTATAGTCGAGGCATAAAGCATGATGATTTGAGACTTCAAGCTGTGTCCTTTGGCTTATCAGGAACTAGGCTCATTGAGTCATCTTTGGGCCTTGGTGATAACTGCTTGGTATAACAGTAAGAAACACTTGCCAAGGGTGCTAGTTAATCAGGACATTTGCAGAGCAGCCATTTGTTCCCTAGGATGTCTCCCTGCAAAGTCATCTCCCTAATTGCTTACACTCTAACGTCGCATTCTGCACATCTTACTGCCATACACAGAGGTATGTGTTACTCACTGGAATAAGATGGGATGGTTGGTGGAGAGGTTGCATTTTCTACATCTTCAGTACCTATCATTAAGCAAGAAAAAGGAGCATGTGATCTTTGATTAGTGTGTGTCAATCCAAATATCCCGCTCATCATACTCATTTAAGGAAATATCTATGATCTGTGGGTGTTGTCTTGCCAGGCAGCATTTTTGACATCTTGAAAAAGCTTTGTTTTGAGGTAAGAGAGAAGACTGGTGGGGTCTACTTGGTGAGGAGGGATTGAACACAGCAGGACACACATCCTACCTTGGAACTGTGAGATATTTCTTGGAGGCGTCACTGATGTCGAGGGCAGGAAGGGGAGCACAGTGGGTTTAGAAGGTGATGCACCTGATTGGTGAGTACTAGCTGCAGGTAAATCACAAATCCACAGTCAGACAATAGTATTGAATCTTCTGATTGGGTTTCTCTGCAGATTCTAGCAGTTTGAAATTCTGGAGATCTGGGAAAATCATTTATTGCTGAATAATAAGATATATATATATATACCATGGTAACAGTAGACCATACATTCATCTATTTTCTTGGAAAGATGCTCAAACTTGAAACCACACAACCTAAGTATCAATATTCTATCTTCATGAATTGGCTTCACGAATTAAGTCTTTTTACCCTCAGCAAAAGGCTGTAGAGCCAATACTAGATGAGATTTTTGTGAGATTCAAATCTATACCGAAGCATTATTTAAATTTCAGATATTACAACTTTAAAAGAAAATGATTTTCTCCATCACACATACTTAGAATGGGTATGAATACACAGGACATTAATCTCATAGTATTCCTCAGTAGTTGTAAAGAAAAGATAGTGGTTAAGACTTGAGTGAGGAAATCAAAGGCACCTTCATTTTCATTCCTTATTTCAGTGGTTTTAACCATAAGCTTTTTAAAATGTATATTTTTATTGTAAAGATACTGTACAGAGGGGTTTTATATATTTCCTATTGAGCATTGTTACTTCCTCCTTTATTTTCTCCTACCATCCCTTCCCTTCCCACCTCCTCAACTCCTCCCCCTTCCCAAGTTGTAAAGTCCATTTTCAACATAGTGTTTTGTACATCTCATTGTTACAATGGGGCAACCTGTATCTCTGGTTCAGCATTTTGTTATTTCCCTTCCCCTCCCCAAATTAGAAAAATATATGTTGCAGAGCACCAGAAATCAAATACACTGACAACAGGGGTTATACCATGGGGGAATAACATACAAAGAAAAAAAATCACATAGTACATTATAAGTACATTAAAAAGGACAGCAAGAAAGGTAAAATCTTTTGTGCTCCTATTTTGGGGTGCATTTCACTTAGCATCAGTTTATATGGTCATATGTACACAGCTTTTGATCTTTTCTACTTGTCTGGTAAGATCAACCTAGACATATACTACTTATTGCAAATAAGGGAAACCATGGGACCTATGTTTCTTTGGGCCTGGCTTACTTCACTTAATATAATTTTTTCCAAGCCTTTCCATTTCCTAACAAATGGGGAAATGTCATTCTTTCTGATGGAGGCATAGAATTCCATTATGTATATATACCACATTTTCTTGATCCATTCATCTACTGAGGGGCATCTGGGTTGGTTCCATATCTTAGCTATGGTAAATAATGCTGCAATAAATATAGTTGTGCTGGTAGCGTTAGTATGGTCTTGTTTGTCATCATTTGGGTAAATGCCCAAAAGTGGGATTGCTGGGTCATAGGGGAGCTCTATGTGGAGTCTTTTGAGGAACCTCCATACTACTTTCCAAAGTGGTTGAACAAGTTTACACTCCCACCAACAATGCAGTAAGGTTTCCTTCTGTCCACATCCCCTCCAGCATCTGTTGTAATTAGAGTTCTTGATTATAGCCATTCTAACTGGGGTGAGGTGGAATCTCAATGTTGTTTTGATTTGCATTTGTTTTAAGGCCAGAGAAGATGGGCATTTCTTCATGTGTCTATTGGCCATTCTTATTTCCTCTTCAGAAAAGTTTCTCTTTAAGTCTTTAGCCCACTTATTTATTGGGCAGTTGTGTCTGTGAGGATCTGTTGTTGGGGGATTTAACTTTTTGAGTTCCAAGTATATTTTAGATATGAGACCATTTTCTGTTATATGGTTAGTGAAGATCTTCTCCCAATCCGTGGGCTTTCTATTGATCTTGCTAGCTACGTCTTTTGCCATGCAGAAGTTTTGCAGCTTCATGCAATCCCATTTGTCCAACCTTTCTTTGATTTGTTGTGTTTCTGCATCTCTATTAAGAAAATTTTGGCCTGTGCCAATGAGCCTTATAGTTTCTCTTATTCCTTCCTGTAATGTTCTCAGGGTGTCTGCTTTTACTTTGAGGGTGATATATAAGGATCTAACTTTAGTTTTCTACAGGTGTTTAACTAATTTTGTTAGCACCATTTACTGAAGAAGCTGTCTTTCTTCCATTCTATTTTTTTAGCTCCCTTGTTGAAGATTAGGTGGCTATAGGTCTGTGGGTTCATTTCTGGGTCTTCAGTTCTATTCCATTGGTCCTGAGGTCTGTTCTTGTGCCAGTACCAAGCTATTTTGATTACTATGGCTTTGTAGTAGAGTTTGAAATTTGGTATTGATATTCCTCCAGCATTGTTCCTTCTGCTAAGGATTGTTTTTGCTATTCGGGGTCTTTTATTGTTCCATATGAATTTTTGGATTGCTTCTTCTATTTCATTGAAGAATGAGGTTAGGATATTGATAGGCATCACATTGAATTTGTAGATAACCTTTGGCAGTATTGCAGCCCTAACCTTTTTAAAAACTGTCTGTTTTTGTTTCCGATTTAGTCCCTGCCCTTTTATCCAAGGACCATCTTATTAAAATTTAATCTTTATTAGTTTACTTAATTATCACTGGTTACCTTCAATCTGAAGAAACAAACAGAAAGTATCCATAAGAATTATTTATAGCTAAGTAGCATTGGCTCCTGTAATCCTAACTCGGAAGCATACTGAGACCTGAGGATCCTGGTTCAAAGACAGCCCAGTCATGAAAATCTGTGAGATTCTTATCTCTAATTAACCAGCAAAAAGCTAGAAGTGGAGCTATTACTCAAATGGTAGAGCACCAGCTTTGAGCAAAAAAGCTAAAGGATAATGCCAAGTCCCTGAGTTGAAACCCTAGCACCAGCCTCAAAACAGAAACAAAGAATTATTTATAAGAATTATTTCATTATTTTTAAGAATAACTTATAATTCTTTGCATGTACAACGTAATATCCCAATAACGTTAAAGGAAATACAAATAGCTGTGTGATAAGCTGATATTACTGCAAATTAGAAATAAAAATTAGTTCTTAAAGAGGATGTTTTGAAAATTAGTTCTTCCTCTATTGTGGTGTGAAATGTTCTCCTTGAATGATGCCTGTTGGCCTTGTCTGCCCACAGAACAGCAAGTCTGTGGAGGACAAAAGGTAGAAATTCTCACCAAACCCCATGGGCACTCTTGCTACTGCAGGCATGATATTGCAAGCAGCTGACTTGTTGATTACACTAAGAGGCATTTTAGGATTGGGACCCCTTAGAAGGATTGAGGACCTGTCTAACTGCATCAAAGAAACCATCTTGGCTTTCCTTCTTTGCCACCCACAGCCCAGCATGTACTATGTGCTCATGCTTTTCTGACATCTGTGGATAAGAACAAGCTTCAGAGTCTGTACTGTTCTTGCCATGTACAAGATCTGTGGGAGGAAGCTAGATATATACCCCTAAAACAAAGCAAAATGTCAGACCAGTGCACCAAGCAGGCAGAAAAGAGGATAGTAAAGTGAAGACTGGGAACTATCTGAAACCTTGGTATTTTTGATGTGCTTTTTCTAATGCTGTTTATGATGATGAACTACTCTTTCAGTTGTGTTAGAGGATAAGGGCTGGTTAAATAACCAGCAGTCTCCATCTTCCTATGATTTCCTAACGGTTTATTTTTTCTTTCTTTTTTGTCTGTCACAGGGCCTGAACTCAGGGCCTGGGAACGGTCCCTGAGCTCTTCTGCTCAAGGCCAGTGCTCTTTCACTTTGAGCCACAGCACCACTTCTCCAATGGTTTATCTCTAAGACTGCGTATCTTACGTTGCTAAGGGCAGGCTATGTGGCAGCCTCAGGCTGAGTCTAATCTAATTTGTTGGATACAGATGAAAACCGAAGCTTTTCTAGTCACAGCATGTGGGTTGTCCAGGGCTAGTGACACTGCTGAGCATCTTGTACAGGTAGGATTTAATGGCTCTTGGGACAGAAATTTCTAAAATTTTTAAAAAACGAAACCCAAAACTTACACAAAATTTACCTCCATGTGTGTAAATGCCATCTGGCATTTTCTTTCCTATTCTACTTAATTTAAAACAGTATAGGTTATGATTTCTGTTAGTTACCTATGTCTATTGACATAATCATATGGTTGAGATTATAGTCCTGGGCTGGATTCACAATTTATGAGACCACTGTTATTCTTTCTGTGATTGAGGGATTTATGGTGTGGTCTGATGATTTCTATGTGTTTGGTGAGACTGTAATATCCTACATTACTATCAAGATAATTGTCAGGGAAGGTATACAAAAGTATAAAGCAGCACTTAAAGGAAATTCTAGGAAAAGTACTGGAGTTGAATCTGATTGTGGAACTTATTTCCTATGGTTTTTTTGGTAAGATGTTTAAACTCTTTGGAGCTGACGTTTCACATATGTAAATGGGAGTCCTAGAATTATACATCATATTATTGTTGGAAAGATTAAATGAATAAAAGTAATATAAATTACCTAAAAAAGAAATGGTGATAAGATTGATGGTAATCCATATATACTATACTATATGATTATTTATTACATGATATTAAATAAAATTATATTATGATTAAGCCCCTAGAAAGTGGAAACATCCAGTCAATGTTAGGTTGTGTAACTTTTGCAAAATTTCTAATATAAAAATACACAGAAGAACAGAAGAAGGCAAAGAAGCAAATAAAACACATCTCTGAAACAACCAAACATATTTTTTTCCAGATAGAATTGAATTTTCTGCCTTTACAAGTTAATAGACCATTTTCAATATACATATATATACACACATATATGTATATATATATTTGCAGTACTAGAATTTGAACTTAGGGCTCTGAGATTTCTAGGCAGGTGCTCTACCACTTGAGTCATGCCTCTAACTCTTTTTGCTTTTATTATTTAAAAAAATAGGTTATCAGATTTTACTCTGGCCATACTGGGCCAGATACACTTTCTGAGTAGCTAGGATGACAGGCATTCACCACCACACTTAGCTTTTTCTTTCTTTTTTAAAAAAATCTTTTTAGAAAAAGGGATCTCACAAATTTCCTAGGTTGCCCTTGGACCATGATCCTCCCAATCTTTACCTCTGAAATAGCTAGGATTATAGGCATGAGCCATTGTACCTGCCTTAATCTTTTGTTTTAAAGATTATGATACCTTGGGCCAAGGAGATACTGTAATCTGTCGACAGTAAATGGAAGGCTAAAAGAATAAGTCAATGTGACTCAAAATCCTTTCCATTGCCTTTCCATAGGCAATAGATTTTATAACAATCTAATTGCTTATAATTATCAGTGAGATCAGTGAAATTGTTCTTAGTGTGCTGAAAGGTTTAGCATGCTCTTTCTCTCCCAATGAAAATATGAACATAAATATTAAAGAAGGACTTTATTTTGGAATCCAATGGGACAATAGCTAGCAGGTATCATTCTAATTGTTTAAACATATTAATTCAGTTATTGCATTATAATGTGCATTTTTACCAATTGGAAACTGAAGCCAAGGAAGAGTGATTGGTCCAAGATCACACAGCAAGGAGCTGGCAGAGGCAGCATTTTAATGTACGCTGTAGAGTCAATTCTTTCTTGTAAACTTTTGACCAGTTAAATAAAACCAGGTGATTCATTTTTTCAGAGAAAGTTAATAGTTTAAGCATCAAAAAGATCTTGAAAGTCTTAAAAGGCTCTAAATTTTATTTTGATTTAGGCATATGTCTAGCTTATAAGATCCAATGTGAACAATAATACCAAGATTGTGCTACTGAAAGAATTGTCTGGCATGGTGATGCACACCTGTAATCTAGCCACTTCCAAGGTAAAAATAGGAGGATCACAGTTTCAAGTCAGCAGTGGCAAAAGTGATCAAGACTCAACTGAATGCAAACCAAATACAAAAGGACCTGAGCATGGCTCAAGTGGAAGAGCATTTGCCCAGCAAGTGCAAGGTTCTGAGTTCAATTGACAATGCCCTGCATCTTGTATATACCCTTCTCTAACTTGGGGAGGGGAAGGGAGAAAACAAAATGCTTAAATAGGGATACAGGTTGACCCATTGTAACAATGAGATGTACAAGACACTATGTTGAAAAAGGAACTTTACAATTTAGGTGGGGGGGGGTAAAGGGGGGAATATAGGAGTGTAGTTATAGAGGTGGGAGGGAAGGGTTGGCAGGGGAAAAACAAAGGAGGAGGTAACACTGCTTGATAGGAAATGTACTCATTGCCTTGCTCATGTAACTGTAACCCCTCTATATGGTATTTTTACAATAAAAAACGTATTTAAAAAAAAGAGAGAGAAAATTTTTTTCTAGTATCCCAAAACAACAACAAAAAAGGTAGAAAAACAAGATTGACAACTTCCTGCAGGGACTAAATCATGCTGCAACATGCTGCACTTTATATACCTTGCTCGAAAGGTTGGCCACCAACTGCAAGAAAGTGTGGGCACAGTGAATGAGCTCAGACAGGATAGTCCATTCTCCTTTGGAATTTGGCTAGAGGAGAGACATGGCAGGACATGCCATGACTGGTCTTGCTTCTATTTTTCTACTGAAGTTGCTGTCTGCCAAATAGTTAAGGCTCTAAAACTTAGCCAAGACATATGAAAAAAAGGAGAGGGGCAATGAGATCTTTCAAAAGTGTACTGGACACTGGGAATGTTGAGATGATGGCTGACTTTATGTAGCCACTGGACTAGATCACAGTACACCCAGACATGTAGCCAAGCATGATTGTGATGGGATCTGCCAGGTGTTGTTGATTTTTGGAAGGATCAGAATTTGCCCCCAAAGTGCAATAAGATACTTTACTTTGGGGAGAGGGTGCACTTTCCATAGACCAAGAACAATTAGACTCAAGCAGAGGACAGTTCAGTAGCTACTTTGTTTAGCTACTGTCCTTGGCCACAAAGCACTCCAGCCCTCCCTGGAGGTTCTCCTGGGCTGCATTGTTTTTTTAAATTGAAGGTTGCCTAACCTTTCTGATGCTGCATATTGTTTTCCTATATACCCTTTGGTACTGCTTTGTCTCATTCTTGGGGTTTTACTCATGAAGATACTCAGAAAATAGTAAACTTACCTGTCACTGTGGTCATTTTGATTGAACTCTGATTCTCAGCTTTGAAGAAAGAAAAGAAAATTACTAAACATTGAAGTGTTCCTAAAAGAACAGATTTTACATTATTTTTAAGTGGATATAGGTCTTAGACTGTTTCAGACTCTTTTTTTCCTCAGCTCATAGAACCATGAGACTTCGTGGTTAGAGGACACTCGAGAACAGGAGTCAATCAATTTTTTTTTCTTGAAGGGACAAGTATTTTAGGCTTTCGGGGACAGAAGTTCTGTTGTAATTGATCAATCCTACCTTTAAGGATGAGTGCCCTATGTATCTGCAAAATGGGCATGCCGTGTTTCAACAAAAACTTTATTGAGAAAAAGAAGAGGCTAGATTGGGTTTGTGGGACACCATTTGCTCCATCCTGCTTTAGGGCATGGAGCACAGTGAATGGAAGATACTTTAGCAGCTGCTTCCTGGACAGCGCTGCCTGCCCTGTGTGGAATTTTTGCGAAGACAGGATGTAACTCAGTGGGTGGGGAAGGGACAGAAAGATCATTTGGGAAACACAGGGCGATGCATCTATGAAACACTGAGTCTAAGAGAGCTTTCTGCCAGGAGAGTCACTTGAGGGAATCATAATCAAACATCCCTGTACCAACCTTGAATAAATAAAATGTAAATAGGATTTGCTGTGTGAAAAATTTAAAACAAGGACAATAAATAGAACCTTAAAAATGTTACTTAGAAATATCGATTTGCTTCCTTTGTGTGGTCACTTGACTGCCGATTTCTATGAGCTTTAGCTTCAAAATGCATTCTAGATTCCATCATGCCTGATCATTGGCTCTGTTACTATTCACACCATACTCAAATATCTCCGTTTGCTACTTGCAAAGCTCCGTACAAAGCTCTTCAAGTGAAAACTTGCCCGCTCCAGTGGCTCTCTGTTCCTTCCTGTGGCTGGGCAGTCTTAACAGAACGTGAGTTCTCCCTTGCTCCTGAATTCTACTCCAACCATTCAGCTTCTTGTTTGACCTCACTCTAGGTTGTGTCTTTATAACCATAGATCAGCCAGACACTGGTGGCTCTTGCCTGTAATCCAAGCTACTCACCATAGATAAAAGACACAGTGCTCTCCCTGAGCCCCAGGTCTCATCTCTCCATCTCAGTGTTCTCTCATGCATGCCCTGATGCCTTGCTTTCAATTTCTACTCAAATGTGTGTTCAGAGAGGCCTATTCTACTACCATACCTAAATTAGCTGCCCCTCCCTTTCAAAGGAGCCCATTTATCCCGCTTCATTGGGCCCAAAGCACCTTCCTCACCCTAGGGCATTTGCTTCTCTTCTTCACAGAAGTGTTTGTTTCCTACAAGAGAACTCTATGGTGATAGATTTCCTGTTTTCCTCAGAGCTGTGATTATAGAGCCAACCACCAGGATGTTGCAGAGCAGGTCCCTGGTAGATTGGAAATAATATGAAAATATAGGATAATATAATGACATTTTATATTATATTATACATAATAAAATGTTTTTACATTATATATAATAAAATGTTATTATATTGTTATGTTATTATATTATCCTATATTTTCATATTGTTTCCATATGATAATAAGAGTAATCCTATCTACCTACCTGAATTCAGATTTTAAAAGAAAATTGATACTTCATTTAAAATTGCTACTTGGATAATGATAACTACCATTTGAAACATCTTTTTGTGATTGGTTACACGGATTATTTGATGATGTCTATAAGAGACCAATTATTCTCATTTGGCAAATCTATAAATAGTTGCTGAAAGAAATGAAATTACTTCATTGTAGGTGGAAACTGGATTATAATTCAGCTCTTTTCATTCCAAATCCATCTTCTTTCATGAAAATAGTCAGCTTTTCCTTCCACTAAACTTTTGCAAATAAAAGTTTATAGAATTAATTCCTACTTTGATAACTAATTAAAATGCTTTTGAACGTGGTATAATGCTGCATTTGGGAGATGCAGTTAAAATATTTATTAGCATTTAGAGGATTAGAATAGAAAGAAAATCAAAATCCTTTGTTCTTAATAATATCGGGTCACAACCTTTCTTACTGAAAGACGGTTAAGAATGAAAATTTACACTTGTATCAAACAAAAACCTTTTAAATATCCTTTATCTGAAATTGGTGTAGCCTTCAAAATGGGTAATTTTATAAAGGAACATAAACTACCCAAGAAATATAAATGTAATTTAAGGTTACATGAACATTAAACATATGAATGGAATATAGTGGAATGTAGTTGGGCATAGGGTATATGAAATCCCAGCAACTTCTGAAGGCAGAGATAAGAGAAGCATCAGCTTGAGACCAGCTTTCAGTTACATATTGAGACCCTGTCTCAAAAAAATTTAGCTAAACAAAAACAAAACAAACAAGAGTTGAGGATGTAAGCTCCATGGTTGAGCATTCACCTAGCATACACTGAATTTCGGGCTTAATCCAGGCCACATAAAAAAGCAAAGAGGCCCAGAGAAAGATGGGAGGAAAGAAAGGAAGGAAGGAAGAAAAGACGGGAAGAAAATACAAAGTATCCCCATATAAAAACTGAATAAGTGTTTTCATATGAATACAAGTTTCAAATGTAAGCTTAGTTTGGAAACTATGAAAGTATAGTACAGATGCATGCTGTAATGTAATGTAATTTGATATTGGAGGAAAAAGTGAAGATATTTGTAATTATCCCTTGTTTTTGTTCATGATACATACGTGTTGTGAGAAAAGACCAGTCTCTGATCAGTAGAGGAAATAAGGAAACCTAAATAGCAAACGGATCGATCATTCTCCAAGTTAGATGTTCAGTAAAGATCAAAATGTCTATCTAGTGGGGGTGGTTGGCAACTTAAAATGTGTGTGTTGAATTTGATTTTCTTACAGAGTACAAGTAAATTTCAAAATGTTGCTCATACTAATCCAAAGCAAAAATGTCCTCAAAGTTATCTTTTGACTCAGAAACTTTAATTGCAATACAATGGACTTGGTTAAATCCTCTTATCTGACAAAGTATGTTGCGTTTCCAGCTAGTAAAATGCAACTGCAAATAGAATAGAATAACATTATCATCAAACGCAGGAGGAATGATGTAGACCTATGTGCAACATGCCTAGGCATAATTCTCTTATTGTTCACTTGTAAAGTAATATATTATGAACAGCTCAGTTATTTATTTGTTTTTCTTATTCTCTCATGTAACATTGACTAAGTCATGGGACATAAGATTATTTCTCATGTGGTTAAGACAGAACATGTAACTGACTTTATAGTGCAAAGGAAAATTTTCATATCTACTCATGGGAAAGGATATGCAAATAATCAAATAGCATATAAGAAAAAGTTGGGTCATGTCCTCAAGTAAGTGACATTGACAAACTTATTCTTACTAAGTATTGTACAAAAGGGTTTTGATTCCCCAAGTCCAGTTATGAGTACAATGCTTCTTGGTCAATGTTACTCTTTCCATTTTTTCTCTGCCATCTTTCCCCATCCCATCTATACGGTCAAGTTATGGAGTTCAACTTTTATGCAATATACGTTGAATATAATGACTCTATCTGCCTACCCTTCCTCCTTCCTGGAGCTGTAATCTTATTACGGTTATTTTATAGATGGACAAACTGATGTTAAGATGTTGAGCTGTTGGACATGGAAGTAACAAATTACTGTGCTACATTTTTTTTTTGAACCTTGACAATCTAAATTGAGAATCATTATATATAACTCATGAGCCAACTTCCCCTTGGCATGACCACAGATACTGATATTTATTTTAAGAGGGGTGTGGCATGTTGAGGAGGAAAGACTTGGGTGTAGGCCATTCTCTAATCCAGCCAATACTATATCTAAAAATGTCTGCTCAGTTATTATGAAATTATATATTTGTGTGTGTGTGTGAGAGAGAAAAAGCAAACTGCACCTTAAACTAGTGTCAACTATGCCAGAAGGAAATGTATTTCATAACCCATTTATTACATATAAATGTTATGAACTATTTGATAACCTACAGCCTACTTATAAATACTTTTCTTTCTACTTAACAAAAGTCAGACTTTTCTCTTCATATTTCAGGTCTGTAATATTGTATTATGCTACCAGAAGAAGCTGTGTCCTGCCAAAACTCTTAGAGGTATTTACCTATTTGCCATCCTATAGTTCGGTAGTAAGTTCTGCCCCATCTCAACTTGTTATTGATCTATAATGTTATTGTGCGTTCTTTCCTAAGCCAACTCAGAATTTACTAGAGGGAGGGAGAAAGGGAGCAACAGTTTCTCCTTTTCTGTTAATTTTCTAACAAGATGCCTCCTTTCTAATGGCTATAGACACTTGATGTATCCTATGCTGTGTACCTCTCTCCCTTCCATAGCTTCCTCTTTCCTTCTACAAAACCAGCAGAACCCACCCAATGTGGAAGAAATAACTGTATCGCAAAGCTCATAGAGCTCGTAAATGTGATAGACCGTGACAGACAATTTCCTCCAGGAAGGTTAGAATGTGTTTGTGACTTTAACTGAGCATCACTATCCACAATACTGTGAAATTTGGGAAATTATGTAATCACTTAATCACAATAAAAAAAAAAACCCAGCAGAAAGTGTTAGTCATCTTTCTGTTACAGTAACAAGATACCTAAGGTAAATCAACTTAAAAAGGATCATAGTTTATTTTAGCTCATGATTTCAGAGTACTTTAGTCTGTGGTCACATTATGTCTAGAGTAAAAGCAGACATACTGGTGGGGCTTAATGGGACAACTGCCTCCTCAGAGTGGCTTTTATATCGAAGACCCTCTCTCCAAACACACTGTGCTATGAATCCACGAGTCCATTAATCCATTCATGAGGCCAGATCTCTAAGGATCCATTCCCTCCTGAAGTTCCTACCTGTAAACACTGCTTCCTTACGGATCATGAATTTTGGGAGTACATATAAAATCCAAACCACAATAGCACAGGAAATAAAAAATGAGCCACGGAAGATGTTATGTTTTCAAGACACTGGCCCCAAATTAGAAACTCAAGAAG